CCATCCTGCTTAGCTGCATCTTTGTCAGCACCCTTTTCCAGCAGCAGCTGCACCACTTCCAGGTGGCCATTCTTAGCTGCCCAATGCACGGAGGCTGTACCATCTAGATTTGCCGCATCTTGGTCAGCACCGTTTTCGAGCAGGAGTCGCACCACCTCCAAATGGCCATTGCTGGCCGCCCAGTGCAGTGCTGTTGTGCCATCTTGCTTTGCAGCGTCCTTGTCTGCGCCACTCTCCAAAAGCAATTGCACCACACCTAAGCGGCCTTTCTCTGCGGCCTGATGCAAGGCTGTAGTGCAATGCTTGTTTACTGCTTCTTTGTTGGCACCATGGCCCAGCAACAGTCGCACCACATCCACATGGCCACTCTTAGCCGCCAAATGCAAGGTTGTTGTGCCATCTTGCTTTGTCACATTTTGATCAGCCCCGCTTGCCAGTAACAATCGCACAACTCCCAGGTGGCCATTTTTGGCTGCCCGATGCAAGGCTGTTGTGCCATCTTCTTCCGTCGCATCTTTTTCGGCGCCGCCCTCAAGCAGTAATTGCACCACTTCCGCATGGCCATTTCGGGCTGCCACGTGCAAAGCTGTTTGGTTGGCGCGTTCGTCTGTCGTGTTGGGGTTGTGTAGAGATCGAAGCATGCCTTCAACCTCTGCCCAACGGTTCGCCGCGCACGCATTCATAAATGCCCTGTTCGTTGGTGCATCAGATGCCTGAAAGCTTAAGATCACCAACTGCAAACTCAGTGGTGGAAACAAAGGAGCTTCATCACTTATTTCGCTCATGTCATCCTGCACGAGTCTCTGCTGAAACCTTGAGCACCCGAGTTGGCCTGCAAGGAACTCTTTAAGTGCCCTGACGGGTTTCTCGCTTTCCAGTATTGGCTGCAACATCTCCTCATCCAGTTCTGACACCAGCGCACCAGACACGGCCGAAATTTGTAGCATGACGGTCACTTCTACAGGCGCTCGTGCGCTTGGTCACTTCTGCGGTTCGGAGACAGACCGACCCTCAGAAACCACAACTGAGACGAAGCAAAGTTCATATAAATATAAAGGAATCAAACACAACTGCAGTACGCGTCGGAGGATTTGTACAACTCACGGAGACGGAATATAAATCCACATAGCCATATGTCAATGCAAGAGAGCTAAAAACAACAAATCTCTTCTACAGTATCGCATTTCTGACCCTTGCCCCCCCAAAGACAGCAACACTCCTGGCATAGTCGTAAGAATCCGATATATATATATATATGGGTTCAACATCCTCGTGGGTCAAAGCACCTCAACGACGATCGATGCGAACGTCCAAGCTTGAGGATCGAGAGAGTTTTCTGTGTCAACCCTTCTGCGGCCAACTCCCATGGGTTGCGTGCCCTTGCTGCACAGCCAAGGCAACCAAGACAAGGGCCTAGCAGATTGTGTTGCTGATGGGTGGGCCCACTTGACATTCCACACTTACATAGATAGACTGGGTCCAAGCATTGACCCACGCTTCTGGCCAGCATGCTTGCCCTACCCCCAAGTTTAGTGTGAGAGGCTTTTTAGGCATTTTTGGCAGTTTCCTCCTCTGCTTGGGTTCTGTTCGATGGACTTCCCAAAAAAACTCGGTGACACAGTTGTGAGACGAGCTTTCCGCGCTTGGAAAAGCGGCTGGGTCGCCTTTTTTTTCGAGTGAACCGAGGGCTGGACATCCAACAAGCAAAGTCACCACCACATATCTCTTCCGTGTTTAAATGCAAAGTCCATGCGGATAAACCACATGTCCAGACCAACGGTTGGGAAAATGGACCATGGCCCGCTTGGCCCATGGCCAATTCCAGAAAGGTAAGCTCAAACCGGGGGCAGCTTGGCATCATGACGCCGCTGGCGAATGTTGACCAAAAGCCTCTAGCAACTTTCGATCGACTTTGCAAGCTCTTATGGACAAACGGCTGAAAGCGATTGGACGGCGGGAAACTGAGCCTTGTCCTAAACCAAACACATGTCCTTTCTTTGAGACCGATTTGCATTAGTTCCTTCAGTTCCAAGATGCTGAGCCAGCGTATCACAATCGACCTGGGGAGAAGTCCAACTCGGTTGGGCGACGAGGAGCACGGGCAGATGGTCTCTGACCTCTTTTGTAGCGAGGTTCGCCATTGGGCATCCTATGGCCCTAAAGAAACACAGACCGAGTATGTATTGTTGGGGCGAACAAATGCGAAATTACATATGCATACATATGCTATCCATCCAGCTGGGCCTCCAATCACCGAGGATTTCTGATCTGCAAAGACTTCAACATGGCGAAGAGAGTATGATTGCCTTTGGAACTGTGCTTGGGTCACCCAAAAACTCTGATTATCTATAACAACAATTGGGCTTGTTTGGGATTGCTCCTGGTCACGGATATTCCTCATCTGTCAGCGAACCTTTGCCTGCAAACACTCACAACCCTATCGGCCCTATCGCCCGAGCCACACCCAGCTGCTTCACAAAGGCTTCGGTGCCCACGGTGTCCGAGCTGAGCCTGAGCTGCAAGCTGCACTTCAACCAGATCTCCCGTAGAGTCTCCAGGCTCCTGTTGTTCTTAAGTGAAGGTACCGAGAAAAAAAATAGAAACAAAAACAATCGAAGCATCTAATCTATATTATAATCTAAATCAGCCTCTTCAAAAAAGACATGGATCTGGCTGTATAGATTTTCCCTTTGATAGCCTTGGCTGCAAACCAAGCTAATGCGGCCCTCCCAAGCTTTTCTAAGCAACATGTCATCCACTTTGACTGCTTCATGATCGCGATATCTGAAGGCAATCCTTATTGGATACACTCAGCGCAAATGCTCTCCGACGATCTCTGCACCCACACACTGTAATGGTTACTTCAGTCAAAGTGTTGGCCAAGCTTCTTCATTTGCAAGGCGCCTTTTGCTCCTGTTCATGCTTTGAACTGGGTTGGACTTGTTCCAATATACACATGCACCATAGTCAAAGTCAGCTCACGCTTGGGCTTGGATGACATTGATGAACAACAAAATGACCATGTCAGTTTTGCACCCTCTTGGATGCCTGAAACAATGGTATACAGTATACTCTAATCCTTTCGGCCTGCTCCCACAGTTGTCACCATTAACCCAGCCAATGGCTGTATTGGGAAGCGTGGAAAGTTGCGATTTTGTTTAACACAAATCCACACCATTGCATGTCGACAAGCATTCACGTTCTGCCGGAGGTCGGGCTGCCTGCAGAATTGATGGCTGAACTGACTGTTGTGCCTTCCAAAAATGATTTGTAGATTGGCACTCCGTTAAAGGCAATGCCACGACCTACTTCTGCGGTGTGCGCATCAGCATGCCTGAAGCTTGGCCCTGCAGGCTAGGAAGGCTGGGTCTTTCAAAATCAAGTGGTGAGGCCAAGATATGTCCTGTTGAATCCTTTCTTTTGATGGAAGGTTTTGCCTTTTGCCTTGGGATCATCAAGTATTATATAATATGGTGTATGTGTATATATGTATACCAATTATATATGCAGAGAGAGATACATACAATGCGTATATGAGTCACTTTTAAACTTGACTTAGTTGTCGTATTGTTGGATTTGCTCGTGAGCTCATGTGAGAGTACGACAACTATCAATTTCTATGTGAGGTCCACAACCAGCATCTTCAAGTGTACTTCTGCAAAGATGTTGCTTTAGATTGATGGGGCCTCCGGCTGCCTTTAGAAATGACCACCACGCCCGGATTGCTGAGTCCTGAGACCAAACCCCAGAAAAGGATGGCAGAGCATGCCAGTGCTGCGAAAGGCTGCATCTTGATCCAAGCGAGGGTGATCACAGCCTGGAGATCAGAGCGAGTGCCAAGATGTCCCAAGTGCCTCTAGACTCTAGACATGTCAAGAAAAAGGAGACCAACTGCCGTGTCCGGCAAACACCAACCAGTTTCTTGACCTGGCATGCTGCCCAGCTACACCAGAGCAAGACACCATAGCCGTGCCGAAGCACCAGAAAATGCGTGTTCTCCTGAGTCTGTGCATGCAACCACGTGAGGTTGTCTGAAAGTTAAGCTCATGTTCCGTCCTTTGGCCTTATCGTTCTTTTCCTTCCTGGTCGTTTTGCCGTGCTTGGACTAGCTGCAGCATTATATACATTTGTGGGCGCAATGCCTTCGTGCAGTGTCAAACCTGAGACTTCATGACGCCATGGCGCAAACTTCATGACGCCATGCCGCACAGCGTGCCGTGCATGTGTGGGCCATTCATGGTTTATGAGTGGTGTACGGGAAGGTGCTAGAAGGGCTCCTTGCGTTAGCATGCTTCTTTCCGCTCATTTCTTATGGGTTATCGAAATGGTGCCCGGTGCACACAACGGTTCCTATGCACTTGAGAGGAGGGAGACACGAAAGGTAGGACAGCGGGAAGAGAAGAGAACGCGAGAGGCAGGAACAAAAATGCAATGTTTGACATGGCGATTTATCCCCTCGGAGGCGACCGTTCGTAAATATAATTTCATATGCACTCTAAATGTTCAAACATATGCTCTCGAAATGCTCAAACAGATTCTTAGGAAAACAAACTTGCCCCATGCACTCTTTCTCAATGTTCAAGAGGGTTTCAACTATCCTGAAATCATGAGAGGCTCACGAAAACGTTCTCGAGGAGAGAATTGAATTTAGAGAGGGGGGGGGGTCGGTATTGAAAAATCAATTCCCCGGGAGGGGGGGGGGTCTGTATTGAGAAATCAATTCGAGGGGGGGCGGGGTTGAATTGAATGATCAATTATTAGCCCCGGACGCCAACATTTGCTTCGTAAGAGAAACTCTAGGTATCCCCTTAAGGGCTACCTTTCGTGACAAACACAAATCTGAGGTCAAGCATATATGAAGGGTCCATGTGCTGGGCATTATTCGTCGTAAAACCGGTGGATAGATCAGCGGACAAAGCGGGCCTGCGAGGCATGGTCGATGCTCTCTCACGCGCATTTGGACCATCAAACTCGGCCAATCCAACACCGAAGCGAGAGAATGGCTCTGCTCCACCCTGGCTGCACGGCCTTCCGTTGTCGGCTTCTCCCGGTTCCGAGCGGCTGCTGATGCATGCCGTCCGCTGCTTGTCTCATGGAGCCGTCGGGTCCTCGTAGACCCAGGCTGGTGCCCAAAATGTTCACGGAGGCCACAACTGAGACGCAAGCCTCGGTGTATTGGGGCCTTGTTGGTTGGATCAGCGGTCTTTGTTTGTTTCCTATGGCCTCCAGTTTGGGTGGACGGACGTGATTCCATATTGTTGCCATGGGTCAAACGTCTTCCAACAACTTGGTTGCTTTGAACCTTGCCATGTTAGTCGTTGCACACTTGCCGGCACCAGGACCTTGACCATTTCTTTCCGGCCCACTATGCAAATGCACATGCGAGCCAATGCATGCCAAGGCACCAAATTTCCCATGAGATTCACCACTGCGAATGCATAATAGAGGGCCATTAGGACTGGATTGATGGAATCTGGAACATCAATCTTGGCCTCAGCTGACTCGCACTGCCTGCAGCCGGTTACAGTGTTTTGCGAGCCTCCACCATTTCAGTGGAATTGAGTGGATGGTGTGCAGAAAGGGTGGCTCGCCGGCGCCCTGTCTCCACCACGCGCACAGCCAGCTCACAGCACCCAGCACCAGCACCACAGCCCGCACCAGCACCCGGCACCCTGTCCCCACCAGCTGCACAGCCAGCTCACAGCACCAGCACCGGCACCCGGCACCCAGCACCAGCACCGGCACCCGGCACCAGCGCCGGAAGACAACTGTCCCTCGAACTCACTGTAGCCCGACCCCGTCTGACCGAGGCACGAGCATGCACACGGCAAAGCCTGCTAGAACAGCTGCTTGGGTTCCCACAGCTTCGAAGTTACTCTGGTTCAGCTCCAGCTCCTGGCTCCGCGAAGGCTGATCATGGCCGACACTGGGTAGGAGGAGAAACGCGCTGCATTGATGGCTGCGATGGTTCTCTATGGTTCTATGTTGTTCTGGTAGCCGCCAACATCTAGGAGTGATTTCATACCTGGGTGCCACACATGCCGATGAAGTTTTGTTGAGCTTGCAGCTCTCCTTGCCCTTCAATGCAGTGGCATTCTTCTTGATCAAGCCTCACAATGCAAAGTGCAAACAGCACCATGTGGACACTTTGAGTTATTGCTGGCCCTTCCTTCGAACTGCCCAGAAGAAACAGCACCAGTGACAGGGGGGTTTTCAGCCGAGGCACTGGTAAGTTCCAGCTTGTCTGCCTCAGCTCTGCCATGGTCTGCCCTTTGAGTTCAATGAGCCTTACCATCCCTTACGCCTGCATGCACCCCTTTGGTTGTGTTGGGCATATGGCTGGGTTGGTCCTAAAGTCACGAGGAGCACACTGTTGAGAAGCAACAGCTTTGACACTGGTGGTGGGTTTGATGAAGTGACTCGACAGCTGTGCTTCCCCAAAGCCTGCTGCCAAACGGAAAACCTGCTGCCAGCTGTGCTTTTGGACTTCTGGACATTTGCCAACACACTTTCACTGCTACTCTCACCACATCTAGTGATTTGGGACCTTGCTGCCAAACTCATCGACCATGCAGGATGGCACAAAGACATCTTTGGGGTTAGTATGGGTAAGTGCCATCTGCCCTGAGACCCATGTATATAAGTCCTGGACGCTGGCTTTGGAGCTAGGTGCAAAGCCAAGGCGCTGCCAGCATGATTTATTTCACTGTGCGGTTCCGCGCGTTCGGCAGCATCAGCCCAGCGCATCGGCCGATGTTCTCCAGCGAAGCTGAAAAGAAACAGCCTCCAAAATTTTGATGTAGAATAATTCAGCTCTAAGCTGTAAGAGTAAGAGTGAGTCGGGACTTCTTCTTCTTCTTCTTTGTGTTGTCCCCCCACTGTGGAGGCCTTTGCCGAAGTTTTCCTTGAGCAAATTGTCTGCAACATATATGGAAGGGATATATAAATGTCTTTGAACTGGTCGCCCTTCTCTCAAACAAATCCTTCCTAGGATCAAAAGCCGCCCCTTTCCACCTTAGCGCAAGCTCCTCGTCAGGCCTCCCTGCATTGCATCGCAATGAACCGGCCGATACTTGAAGCTACAAATCACGGATGGAACATGTATGGATTGACACGCCGAGAAAAGTGAAATTCACACTCCTCTACAATCTTTAAAGTGGCATTCAATCCCTTCCATCGGCCGTGGATTTCTCAACCACGATATCCAAAAGCATGGGATTTTGCTTTGGGCTTTGCGGTAGGCTTTGCCTCCTGCTTGACTTCAGACCAATCTTCTTCATCTGTATGGATCTGGTACTGGTCCGCTAGCCCACTAAGCTCCATCACCATGGAAGGATCTGCACCAAATTCGCGAAGCATCACTTGGAGATACTTCTGCTTCCACACTGGAAACTGGAACAATTTCCGGGCCCCCTCATGACTCAGCTCAGCGATCGCTGCATGGTATTCCGGGTCCTCCGGAACAAAGGGCTTCGGCAGCTCTTCCTTCACCGATGCAGAGGGTCCATCTTCATCTTTGGCCTCATCGTGCTCAAGAAAGAGAGACCTAGCGCCATTCTGCATGATCTGGCGGAAGGCCTCGCCCCAATGCTCATGACCTTTTGTCAACGGCACAGCTTGATTGTCACGAATCACCTCTGCATACTTCAGAAGAACTTCTTTGAGGGTGTCCTCTACATGGTCAATGAACGCAGCTCCAGCATTAAGAGTGATCATGCCGGTCGACTTCGAGTAAGTCATGGTGGTAGTGGCATTCTCCCCACGAAAGCGGTGACCATCAATCACCGACAGAGGAATGCGAATCTTGCATGTTGCTCGGGACTGACTCACATTCTTTGCGTAGTCATCAGCATTCAAAGCCACTTGACTTGCCATCACCTCAAACAGCGCACGGATTTCCTTCTCTGTCAAGCCTGAGGTGTTCACTTTCACCATGGTCTGCTTGGCCACGACTGATTGAGCTTGCACAAAAAGGATGCTTGAACCACCTGAACATGTTTCGGAACGTTCTTTGCGCAGTCTCTTTTGTTCGGCAGCCAGTTCCATGTTCGCACTTTCTGAACTCATTTGGTATTGGTTGTTTTGCATTGCTCCTCGCAAATTGTCCATGGCATCTGCATTTTCTTTAGATAGAGCATCAGCTAGTTGCAACCATGTTGGAACCCATCGAATACGACCTTGAACTCTAGTCAGCAAATCTCTAATGATGACCAAATCAATTGCAACACGTTTGTCCGACACGCTGCTGGGTGAAGCAAAAGTTTGTAAATGATCGAAAATCGATTTGCAATCCGTCACAGCCTGAATCCCTAACTCTTGCAAAAACTCCGTTCTAGCTTGAAGCGAAAAATCAAAATGCTTTGCCTCCATGAGCATACAACCCAACCACTCTGCATGACCGAGAGCATCTGATAAAACCTGTGTCTCACCTGCAAATGTACTTCCGACCACCCGTTTCAACCGATAGCTTTTCCAGGTCGCTGGAGACCAAGGTGCAGCTTTTCCGGCTTCTAGGTTTGTATCTGTCATGCCAACGATGTATCCGGCCTGTGTGCCACATTTCTTGGCGTTTCCAAAAGCCGCATCGCTGTGCACGCACATTTTCAACTGGTCAAAAGGAATTGGGAGAATTTTCCAGGTTGCATTGCGGAACTGCTTGGCCCTTCTCACAACATTGCCTGTGCTTGTCCAAGAGTCGGTTTCGGCAGCATCTGTTGACCCTGACTAACCTGTACTGCTAAATCCGGTCTAGTTTCTTTGGCCAGCCACAATGCTCCACCTAGCACAGATTTCAGCGACGATGCTTCCTCGTCGGTCACCTCAAAATTCGGGTCGGCCTTGTTCCTAAGTTTCGGGCGACTGAGCTTGCCCACAAACTCTTGTTGTCCGACTGTGATTGTCCCATCTTCGGCTTGTGAAATGTACGATCCACAAAATGTACCTTCTCTAATCTTCCACTTACGAAATGGGGATGCTTGTCTGAGTCGGGACAATGTCTGCTCGAAGTATTGTCCATGACCTCCAATGAGCACGTCATCAACATGAACCCCCAAAATTCCAGCCAATGTAGTGCTACCCTCAACACTTTCCCAAAGGTGGTATACGCAGGGATCTAGTTTTGACTGTGTCCACTGAAGTTCCTCAACTGTGTCCTTAAACTTACTGTACCACATTTGAGGGGAGTCATTCAGTCCGTACATGGGCTTGATGATCTCAAACAACTGCTCCTCCTCATAGTCCGGAAACGGACCATTTTTAGGTTGAGCCATGAACAATCGGCCTCGTTGTCTCCCGATGGCGTCTGCCTCCAGGAATGCCCCAGTGACATCGCCCAGCTGCATTGTGAACCCCTTGCTTGCCATTGTCTGCAAAACAACGAATCGCCCGTTTGTAGAAATGGTCGGGGATTGGGTTTTACCTTCACGGATGAGGTCAAACAAATCTGGGTCTTTGTCTCCACGGGCTGTCCATCTGGCTTTGACAATCTCTTCGCCGCTATCTTCGACTTTGGTGGTCAGGACTAGTCGGCTGGGCACTATTCTGTCAGATAAATCTCTTTTGACTTGTCTGGATTCCTGCACTGACAGAGGCTTCAATGCTCCCTTGTCTTGAATGACATTCTTTGTCTCTTTCCTAATACCGGCTATCAACTTTGCTCTACCAGTTGCAGTTTGCCATTTGCTGTCCTTGAGATCTATCTCATTTCGACCGCCAGCCAGCAGACATTCTGTCGAAGTGCAAACGAAAATGAAGTCATCCTCCGTCTCTGCCTTGTCTGAGAAAGCAACAGCTTGACTAGTTGAATCTTTTGGCTCAATGAACAATGCTTCTGAGTTTGAGGAACTGGAAGTAGATGATGAAGTAGCCGAACTGCTTTGTTCAACCTGTGGGGGTATTGGCAGAGACGGTGGGTACTGCTGACCACCAACGGTCTGTCTCATCCGCTTCGGTTCCGGCCTCAGCGTCCCGTGGTCTGGGATGACCATCGAGTCGGTCAGCTCTCTGTACTGACTCTGGGAGTGCCTCTCTTTCTTGGTGGGACAGTCTGCTAACAGTGTCCTGGTAACTGGAGATGGTTTCTGGAGCAAGAGAGGTCACTGACTCAATGGTCTCTGGAGATCGATGACTTGCACCGTCAGACACCGGAGCGCTTGGCTGGTCTTCAGCCTCTGGTCTGCAGTCTGGCATCATTGCTGGTTCAGGGGTTAACAGGTCACCTGGGGGATGATCATCCTGGGTGATGTCCATGAACTGTTTTTGAGTCTTCCCTGATGCCCCAACCTCTGGATACAATTGCACTGCTGCAGGCTTGAGATCCCTCACCAAGAACCGGTCAGCCTCTCTTTCTTCATGGGTCCGAAGGCGAAGCTGTTCGGGGGAACACTTAATGAAAGCACCTGGCATAGCCACCCAAAAATTTCCTCCGGCTGCACCTGCTACAATACCTGGTCCTCGCCAACGTGCCATGGATTTCTTGATGCCGCGCCCTCGCCTCCAGACTGCTACCTCATCGCCAGCCCGAAACTCCCTGAGAGGTCTAGGCCTCGAGTTCAAGGCAATACGAGCAGCACGATGGCCGAGAGACTCCAGCACCGACTGGCGAGCACACAAACGTGCCCGGTTGCTGTAGTCAGCAATGGCGTCTTCCAGGATGGCACCGTTGGAGATAGGGTTAGCATTGTCAGACAACAAGTCATCACCGGGAACCTCTGGGTCTCTGCCAAACACCAGTTGGTGCGCGCTGTAACCTCCCCGCCTCATCAGACTATTCTTAGCTTCAGTCGTCACATCTACGCACTCCAACCATTGATGATAGTCTTCTGCGGACATTTGTTCCAGCACTCGTTTCAACATGGTCTCAAAGTGCCTTCCTTGAACCTCCACGTCGCCCATCTGTTCATGAGCCTCTCCAGGAATGTCTAACGGAGTTGTGCCATCACGTTCCAACAAATCTAGAAACTGTTGTCCTAAGTTGCATCTGCTGGCATCAAACTTCACATACCTGGGTCGCCCAAAACATCGGGTCCAGTTGCGATACAATCGGCAAATGACGTCCGAGTTCTCAGTCTCCCTGAATGGATACACATGTTGGAGTCCTGAAGACCTACACACCACATTGAGAGCCTTCACTGGATGGTCCTTTTTCCAACCTGGAAACTGTTTGACGTCTATCCCGACATATCGCAAAGGTGCTAAGTCTCTCGGAACACTGCTCTGCTTTACCGCTCTAGGTGCCCGTTTCGCGTCACACAGGTCACATTGAAAGGCCTTGACCTGCTCCAAAACGCATGGCTGTGCACTATGGTGCTTGAGGATCCGCATCATGTCTGTTTGTGAAGCGTGTCCCAAATTCACATGAAGCTTTCTAATGGCATTGAAAACACGAGCAGTGTCTGTCTTCTCACCTACTTTGTACTGGACGTCAGCCTGACTGATTGCTAAACACAACTGTTCCTGATGCTCATTTGCAGCAAAACCACACAAAATTCGTCTGACTAGTTTGTGAGGATATCCCTGAGTAATCACCGACTGCAACTGGCCTTGAGTGGTGCCTTCAACTCGCTGATGTTCATGTTGTCCGTCGCACTGCAGCTTTGACATCTCCATCGCAATCCCCCCAGCATTGGTAAGGAAGGACCATTTCTTGCCAAACAGCTTTCGTGTCGAAGGATCTCGGAGACCAACAGCGCAGGCCGGGATGTCCAGCCAGTAGCCTCCACTTTCCTCAAGGAGTTTCTTCACACATGGCTGCTTCCATGTTTCACTTGTCTGGGCAGACTCGAACAGGAAATAGCGGCCACGAGCAATCTGTCGCATGGCAAGCTTGCAGCACCATGCGATCATAGCCTTGGCTTCAATCACTTCTCTCCGGAATCGCTCTGGGTTCTGCCGCTTCTCCATAGGTGTGCATGCCTGAAGTCTAGATAGGGGTCCACAAGGAGGTGACAGGATCAGCAAGTCAGGATCACCCAACTCCACCGCCATCTCCGCCCTTTCTCGATGCTCACGCACGGTCCAGTCCCAGCCATCACTCATGTCAAACGATCCTTGCGATTTCAAGCCACACGCTCCTGCCATTTCACTGAAGCGACCAGGACAAAAGATCTCCATCACCGTCGGGGTGTCCTCGTCACCTCTCTGGCTCAAAGTCTTGAATAGGTTCTCTTGGACTTGGCGTCGATCTTCTGCCTTGAACACCGCCATCACGCCCATGTCGTCCTCGTCGGACTCGTCAGTCTCATTTGACATTGGAGACCTCTGTCCTTCATTCTCTCTGTCCTGGATCGTCTCCGGGTTATTCTCATCGCTGTTGGTGATCTCACCGTCATTTTCGGCAAGCTCATAGTCTGCTGTCATGTTGCTGTCGCCGGTTGGGGTTTCATTCGACTCTTCCATGGCCTCAGTCTCGTTTGAGGAGGTACTTGAGGCATTGCCGGACTGGTCATTCTCACTGTTCTCGTCCATCACCAGGTCATTCGCCATGGAGTAGGTGACCTCACCAAAGGACTCCTCTTCCTCCACTGGGGTGGCCCCAATGTCCTGGGCTTCCAAGACATCAACTTCAAGGGACGACGTCTTTGGTGGTCCTTGGACGTCGATCAAGTTCAGTTGGTATGAGCCATCACGTTTCTCCAGCAACTCCGTGGTCACGTGAGCCTGCTTGAAGACCACCGTGTTGGCTGCCAAGTCGATCTGTGCCCCGAGTGACTTCAGGAAGCGCTTGGAGATGAGCAGTGGGACATTTCCTGGAACCACGTGTACTCGCATGCTCATCTTCCGCCCTTTGATGAAGACGGGAAGTTGGACCCTCTTGATCGACTTGTCGGACGATCCATTTCCATACTTGAAGGTGTGTGCCACATGCGTCAGCTCTTCTACCTCCAAACCATGTTGTCGTAGGGCCTCCTGATGTCGAGCCAAAGTTTCTTCACCAACCAGTCCTCGACCGCATCCGGTGTCCACAACACCGTATCCAGCGTCATGAACCAGTGCAGCCAACGTCTCACCGTCGTCCTCGTCTTCCGATTCCGCCTCCACGACACCCTTCAATGCCATGTCCCCCACCAAGTCCTCTGTCTGGCAACCTTTCCTTTGGGTTTTGAACGACGGATCCATGGACTGGTCATCCCTGAGGAAGAAGATTGTCTCTCCGGTCCATTCGTAGTCCAGGTTGGTGTGCGCCTGTCCCTTCTGCCGCCAATTGATTGTCCTGATGGTCGTGGTTGTTCCATCCTCTTGCACCGTCCTGGTCACCCGCACATTGGAGAGGTCCTCCAGTGGGATGGGACAGCCACTTGCCCCAGGAGAGAACAAGGCTCGCCTGGGCAGAACATGCTCGCGAACGATCCGACTTCCAGTGCAGTGCCAGTAATCTCTCGGGACATACTCCCATCCTCTGACCAGGGACTCCATCTGGTGGCCGCTGAGTGGCGGCTCAGGAGGGTCCATCATGTGCATGACCTCCACCGCCGTAGGATCATCATCATCAGAATCGGGAGGTCCAGGAAGACCATATGGCTCATTTGCCTTGATGCCAAATGGGAGGAAGTCATTCGACCAAACCGGCCATGCCACATTGACGAAATTCACCTTGGTCGATCCGGTCGTCGTAGAAGCCGTAGAGGACGAAGACGAGTTCTTGCCGAATCCTTTGCCGCGTTTGGGGCAATTTCTGCTGAAGTGACCGATCTGCTTGCATTTGAAGCATCTCACTCTGGCCTCAAGTTTCTTGAAGTCCCGACCTCCAGCAAATCCTCGATTGAGCTTCTCCTTGGTGATCCCCATCCGGGTTTGCTTCCATGACAACAAACAGTCAATGGCGTCTTGTTCTTCAATGGGCTCATCATCATCGGCATAGTCTGCGAGCAGGACCGAATCTTCCTCAAGCTCCTCGCCGACCATACCATCATCATCTGAAGCTTCAGCCACATGGACATTTGCGGACTGCTTGGCGACCACAAAGAGGTTGTCAGGATAAGTTGTCCTCAAGGCTGAAGCCACATCCTTCTCTTCATAACTCTGTCGAGCAGCAGCCATCACCACGGCCTTGCGCTCCTGGGAGAGCTTCAAAAACCTCAGAAGCAGGTAACCCCGAGCCACCGAAGGAAAGCGGATGCCCTCCGCCTCTGCTGCTGCGAATGCCGCTCGGACCTTTCCTGTATAGGTGGCGGTTGACTCACCCTTCTCAATCTTCAGGTCGAAGATGCTGTCTAAGACTTTCCCAAGCTTGTCGTGGGTCGATTGCTCAGGAAATCGCTCATCCAAAACTTGGAACAGCAGGTCATGGCCACCTGGTGCCTCAATGTCGTCCATCGACACGGAGTCGAATGTGGCCAATGCTGTACCATCAAGCAAGGTGTACAGCAGGCTTCCATGGTTGTCCTCCGCAATGCCCTTGGCCTTTTGGACGTTCAGGTATGCCCTGCTCCACCTTCTCCATCTTCTGTAGTCCGTCTCCGGGTCAGTGCCGTCGCCCGAAAACCTCCTCACGGCAGCATCCTGCCGTGGCCCTTGTTCTGAGCCAGCCGCTGTCATCTCGTCCAAGCGGGCCCTGCTATGCAGGGCTCCGCTACCAGTTTGAACTGGTCGCCCTTCTCTCAAACAAATCCTTCCTAGGATCAAAAGCCGCCCCTTTCCACCTTAGCGCAAGCTCCTCGTCAGGCCTCCCTGCATTGCATCGCAATGAACCGGCCGATACTTGAAGCTACAAATCACGGATGGAACATGTATGGATTGACATGCCGAGAAAAGTGAAATTCACAATGTCACACAAAAGCAAAAGGATACTGAATCTCACACATTTGCTCAAATGATTGCAACGCTACACATAATTATGTGCCACACATCTCACTCACCCTATAATAATATAATCTTACAGTATATGAGTTTTACAACCCCGAACACCAAAGGGGCTTCTTTTCAGAAGCTGCGCTCTTCGCTCTTTTCCAAGGCAGGAGACCTAGACCTGGCTTCGTTGGCCACATCTTGTGGCGAACCTGGTCAGGTTCCCACCTTTCTCACTGGTGCTCTTTCGCCAGCGCCACCGCCCCGCATCTCGGCCAGCTCAACCCCACCATGGCAGCGCTGCCTTTGTTTGGGCAAACTCAATAGCCGAAGGCCTGGGCAAAGGTCAAACATGATGAATCTCCGGATCTCCTGGATGAATTGATGGCCATTCCCTCCATTTTGCCGTTTAAACTGGAAGAACATTTCGAGTGTAGGGTATATCAGGTATATCTCACAGATGTGCATCGGAAAGGTCTTTCCCCAGGCCTTGAAGTCCTCTGCATAGTACTCCTGTGACGTCGAAACGAGACGTCGAAAACAGACCTCGTCGTCTGGGCAGAGCCTTTCTGTGAACGACGGCTGGAAACGGTAGGTCCCAGTGAACGACTGATCTGTGCTGTTGGTTGACCATCTTCAAGTCATCACCAGTGCGGAATTTGCTACATCAGCCACTGCTAGGTCACAGCCACTGTTGTCAGTCCTTGATCAAGCGGAGGGTTTCTTCTGTCGGTGTGATCGAGCAGCCGTGGCCTGCAGCTGATCGAGGAGAGCGAAGCCTTGACCGGAGCCTAAAGCATCTATATATAGTGTATGTAATGCGTGTCCACACGCAAGCACAAGTATATACATATATAACTATATATATACATATCCAGATAGAATGTGCACTATCCATAGATATCCATAGTATGTACGATAGTATGCAATAGTTGGAATCATATCGTTTATGTTGCATCTGCCCAAAATGACCGACATCTGTTGCACATGCTGGATCATGCTGGCACTTGTGGGAGTTCCATTCAAAAGAGGAAAGGGTCCAAACGCTATTGGCTCAGGGTCCTTCATAACATCTCCTATCTGAAGAGTCCCGCTGGTATTCTTTTTGGCGACCAAGCCGCTCGCACGAGATTTGCTCTTACCCAGCTTCACCTGCAAGTCAGCTGACGAACTTACATTCTCTACATATGAATGGGCGTACTGCAGTTCTGCACTCCCGGCTGCTATCGAACTGAATGGAATGACTATGAATAGGGAGACCTTTCATATCCTCCTTATCACCTGCGTTTCATGTGATGTTGGACAGGCGCCTTGTCCGGATAACCATATTTCTTCATCAGAGGATCGAATTCTTGATGCAAGTTTTCCAGCTTCAGGATGTGTTGGCATATACGCCCATTGGCAGGATTACCTCGGGAAGAGAACGCGCCACTCCAAGATGGGCCTCTCTCGACTTTGCACCTTCACACCAAAAATAACAATATGCCAATGCAAGACATGGCAGCACCTGCTAGTCCAATAGCATACTACAATGCCTGAGCACCAAGCCATTGTAGAAGGCATAAAAGACCTGCGAAGGCAGGAACGATCACTCTGGGGTTCTGCCTCCCCCGAAAAAGCATCAAAAAGCTGCATCTCAACTACAGAAGCCTGGTCTACTGTCGACAGTCCGCAAGGGGCCTGGGGCGTGAAATGGCAGTCTTCCAACAAATATTCGTTTCCTTGAGCCTTTGCCAACTTCTCCTGGAATCTCCGCCGCACTTTGAGTGACTTTTTTTCCCCCCTCCCTCTCTCTCTCTCTCTTTTCAAGACCGGTCAATTTCAACACTTATATAGAAGGCGAAGAACCATGTGGCCCCGAACATCACCTTGCTTTTATACTCTTTCTGGCTTTGGAGAGGGGCTTGTGTGGTGTAAAGCATGTACAACTATCACTTGCTGCTATTACTAGGTGCTATTTTGCGAATACTTCAGACTCAGATTGTTGATCAAAGTAAAGCGGTCCCTAATCAGTGGACACAATGTCGACACAAAAGCACCTGCATGATCCTGCATGTCTGGTGCTATGTGGTCTGGGATTTTGTCTTTCAAACGTATTTTGACTTATATAAATAGCTTGCTTGGTCCTTGGTCTTCACAGCTTTGATGCAACCACACCTGACTAACGCAGCCCATCCTTAGACACCACCGGAGCTCCTTGGTGAACTTCTCGAGTGCTTCAGCACTACAGCCAGTTTTTTGAAGATGCCGCCATCTAGTGAAGCAAGGGAAGCTACTGCATCAACATGAATCCAGAAAACACATTTTACAAAATGGCAACTAGGAGCAGCTCCTACATCTCTTCCGCGCCTCCAGTGGCTAAGGTAGCGAGACACGGGTTCCCGGACCACGCAAAAGGCATCACACTCCTGCGTGTAGGTCGTTGCCTCAAACCAGTCTTACAAATCTGAACCCCCGCAATCAGGGATGGGGCGTTCAGTACAGCATTCTTACCACTGGGCTCCCTGCCAGCTGCGAGTCCCAAGCTGGTGGAAAATGCCAGAAGCTGCATCGATCCTGAGATTTCATGAATTGAATCAGTGAGAGTTTTGAGTTGACGGCCTTGGTTTTGAGTTGGTCTTGCTGACTCTCCCAGACATCGTCTTCTGAGATGAAGAATGCAAGGGGCCAAAGCCAGGAACTGAATCAAATGCAAGCTTCCACGCCAGTGTTCTTGGGTGGTTGTGGTTCGAAGGACTTGTTGATGAAACCTGAGTGAATTGCAGTGGCTCCATTGTCCATATCCAGCTGAGCATGCATGACATCCACGAAGACATCAAGAGTGTGGCTGAAAGCGCACAACTAGTCCCGTCTTTTAATGTAGTGAATCGAAATGAGGCTGGCTCACCACAATAAACAAACACGACTCTACCATACTCCACCGCATACCATGATACTCATGAAGAGCAAATTTGTGTCATCAATGCTGCCATGTGGCAGCAGTCAGCGCCTTCCATTCACAAACGAAGGGACAGATTTACGCGTTTACAATGTGCCCCGCGGGCCGAGGCTCAAGGGTGGCTACCCGAAGAACACTGACACAGCATTCCACTATCAACGTCCGTACAATACAGGCGAGCATTTTAACATAATTAATCTATTTACAGTACGTTTTAACTGTCCCTCAATTTCAATCCATGTCGGTGGACAGCGATGTTGACCTATGAAGATCTATGAAGAAGAATTACATCAGTTAAGCGATTTCCTCACCAATTTGTAGATACTATTTGACTCAATGTGAACTTAGCAATCTTTGCAATGCCCCCAAATCTTGACCCAGTGTCTTTGTGGTGAAACAGTTCTCAGGCCACGCAAGTGTCACAACCAGCAGAAACACAAAGCCACATATTGAAGGACCAGCAGAAACATCTAGAATCCCCAGTAAAACATTGACAATGTCTTTTTGGCGAAAGACAAACGACAATGTTACTTATTGCAACCCAAAAAGCAACAATGTGAGATGTTTCTGCTTTTTATCAACATTGTTAAGGTTTTGGCACAACGTGAGGACAAAAGTGACAAGTGGTTTTTCAGGAAAGCAGTGGCAGCCACAGTCCCATCGAATCGGCTAGGGATGGATCTGAGAAAACCCCACGGTCTCCGCCTCCGAAAAAATGATCCATGCCGTTCGTCGGCGATGTAATAAGACCCGTTTTGTTGTCAAGAGATGTCCAGAGTGGGACAAACATCTACAGTAAGACCACTGAGATTGGAATCGCGAACATCCGGTGCAAAAAACGTTGGTCCTATGGTCGCTACTCGCGGCATGACATGACCAAACCGGCTAGATCTCTCACACATCCAGGTCAGCCCGCCTGACCAGCCGCAATGCTTCTTCGTTTCCTGAGCGCGAGATAATCAGGGGTCAAATGGAAAGCACAACAAAAGGGCAGCATTGGTCAACTCTGCGCTGTGTGCACTGGTTTTCTTGGTCCTTTCAAATCGCAACTGCCGGCATGCTCGATAGAGTTCAATCTGCAAACAAGTTTCGCATCGAAGCCTGTCGTCGCACATTCCCCAAAAGCGGACGTCCTTCTCGATCTTCCGCATGGAAATGCCTTGAAGCCAGCGGCAGTTGGGAATGCACAAACATATCCCATGCAAAATAATACACAGTAAATGATCACTGGTGTTCATATATACTGTTAAATATATTTCATTATTTATCATGCTGTGTAATGCAACCCCTGCGAGCTGAGCCACAGTCACCTGGATTCTCGACCACCTGATTGTAACCTCAGGTGGTCAAATTCTTTTTGCTTTTGCTGCGCGACTGGCAAGCTGGGAGCTCGGCCATAGGCTCGTGCAATGATGCCTTCGATATTGGAGCCACCCGCCTGATGGTATGCCATCATGCATGTCCCAGGTGTCAACGGTGTCACGCCAAGGGTCCTGGAACTGGTATGTTTTCTCCACCAGTCCCAAGCGCCTTCGGGATGTGCACGAAGGACAAGCAGGACTTTAGAGCTCGAGGCGCCTCGAGTTCGAGATGAATCCCTTTTCACTAACGGCTAACGACGTACCTCGTGCTTCGCATCTTCCGGATGACATCGGAGAAACGACGTGTTGAGTCGTACCCGACTGGGTCGCAGCAGTCAGTTTCATCACCGGGTCTGCTGCCGCACTCCGAGGATCTCCGAGGTCCTGGCAGCCTCAATGGGCGCGCCTTGGACTTCACCCCGTTCTTTGGGTGCCTGAGCATGTGCGAGGGAGATCACTTCATCTGAAAGCTAAGATGCTTCAAGAAAGGCCATGAAAGGCCCATGCATGACCAAATGGTTGGAACCTGTCATAGGAGCAATGGTCACAAAGGTTCTGAAACTTCACCAACAATAGGGCCGATGAATGCCTGGGACCACGTGAAGTGCACACCTCTTTCTTACAATGTCGTGCCGCGCCCATCGCCGCCTCAGTCGGTGTTGCCACCGGGCTTGGCACCTGCGGGGCCTGTGTCACGGTCGCGAGCTGCGGCGCCGGGGTTTCCACCACCGGCGAGGGTTGGGTGCCTCGGTTCCACGGCATGCCGCATGGGCAGGTTGAGGTGTCCAAGGAGCAAGTTGAACGATCTGGGTAAACACAAATTCCAGCTCCTGGCTACACACTCTGTCAAGACTGCTGAGTCAGTAGCCTGGGAGAAATGTTGACTTTGAGGAGCTCTTCTCTAGCATGACCTCAGCCCACATGCCTTCCATCATTGAAATTGTTGTGGGGTCCTAAGCTCTAGGGCTGCAACCCCTGCCCATGTCCTTACTCTTGAAGTCAGAGACACCTGTCCAGCCGCAAGTGATCAATGAATACCACAAAATGCCAACACAGGCCGTCAGTACCCATTGAAACGGCCCAATTCCATGCACAAAAAACAATGCTTTGGAACCTCAGCTCGACAACTTTACAAGCCAAGCAACATGATCAGTATATAATGGTATATATATATATGCCCTTTGAACCGTCTTCCTCTCACATCTGTCGCCCAGCAAATGGGGAGGCATGTTTCAAATCGTTTCAACATGAATCGTTTCCAGCCTCTGACAGAAGAAAAGCACCAGCCACCAAGACAAGGGAGGCACAAACCACCACCCGCGTGCGCAAGGTCGAGATGGCTGCCTTAGAGAATCCAACTCTTGACCAGGCTGGGGGTGGTCAACATGCTACATGTAGCTGTGTCCAACCCAAATCTGGAGAAGTCCCAACAAAAAAAAAAAAACTCGGTGCAGGGTCATGGGATGAGACATGTCCAAGTGCAAATCAGCCTTGTCGAAGCGGATTTTCCCGTCGCCGTGACGCCCCGGAAGGCTTGTGCTTCCCTGGTGGGATCGCTGCTTCGATTTCGGAGCTGGCTTCAGCTCATCTGAGAAGGAAATTCACTCCTGGTGCTGATTTGGCCAAGGACGGTCATTGGTGCAAACAATAGAAAAAATCTCTCAACCTATGAAGAGTCCAACCATAAGAGTCCTTTGTTCCCCTAGTTTCCCCCGGTTATGCCACTTTGATGGACACATGCTGAAGCTGGCCAAAGACTCTGAAGCATAAGAAGGGCTCATCTCCATCGACAATGCCAATTACATCATCATGCACGACAGGCTGCTGACCAGTGGCAGCAACACCATTGAGTTTCGTTGCCGCATGCGCGTGGAGAATCAATGTCGGTGTGCCGTCTCTTTGTGACATGAAGAGTCGGAAATAAAGCGATTCCAGCTTGGCTGGCGTGCGGTCTTGCAAAACTCTTGTCCAGAATGTCTGGTCCAGGAAATCGCTTCCAACGGAAATGCATGCTTGAGCAAACGGTGCTGCGAGTGTGCAAACGGAATCCTCTGATGGGTCTGCAGAAATACATTGCAACAGAAAGGGCGAAGGTAAAGTGCCCTGCGGCACCTGCACCACATCCCCGGTGTTGCTCTGGCCGTTCTGGGGAGAAGCAACCGGCCTGGGAGTGACATTCGAGTCCGTGACCTTCATGGCGATAGGCTCTTTCTCGCTTGGATGCAGCCCGGCAGGATATGGAGGATGCCCACACTCAACTCGAAACTGGACAATGGGCGGTACTCCAGGCCGGCGGTGGAGGGGTATTCCAACCAAGTCACCGTCCTTCACAGTGTGGTCTTGCTGGACCATATTGCCATTCAACAAGGTGCCGGCAACACTGAGGTTTACCAAGACAATCTGACCATCTGGAGTAGGTGAAATCTCAAAGTGTGATCTTGAGATGGCATTCCGCAAAGCCTCATCTGGAACTATAGATTGCCAAAACTCCGGCGGTTGCAAGGCCCTTCCCACTCGGACAATCCCAGTGGGACCTGCCAAAAGCCGTGAATTGGGCAACTTCACCTTGGCCAAACACTGCAGTGAGAGCATCTGACTTTGTGGCTCCACCGAAACTTGGAACTGGAGCGCTGGCCTCAGGGGCGAACGGGACCTACCGAGGTTCAGCTGTTCAGATTTCAGAACCCACGCTTTTCAGACCAGGACACAACCGAACGATCAATGAAGTATCACGAAACGTAACACCACTTTACTTCTGGCCTGCCATTCTCGCCCTGACCCACGCTCAGAATGTCCCCATCTTCCTTGGCTCCAAAGGAAGGGAGGTCGATCCGACCCACATCATTGAGCCCTGTGATATATGCAAGTATGGTGTGGCTGTGTACCTTATAAACACATAAATGTGTGTGTGTACATATGCCATACACATCCTTTTGCCAGCCTCGGCTGGACTGGACCGAGGTGCCCTTCCTCCCCTGCTGAACCGCTTCGTGGAGAGCCCCCGTGGCCCTCATGCCATCTGCAGCGAAAAAAGACTTGGTCCACCCCTGCTGAAAGGAGTCCCTTCTCTCATGTTGTTCGACTCTCTCATTGTGGACCTCTCGGATGGTGGACATGTCGGATCAACACCCCACCCGGCTGAAACCGTTCACCTGGCTTCCAGGGTGGCCTCCGTGATCCGAAGGCCATTGAGGAAGGTCCCCCCAGTGCTCAGGTTTTTTCACCATCAAACGCGACTGTCGAATCTTCACCTGCGAGGCAACAGGGAGGCACCGAAGCAGCCGGGCAGCACACCAACCAGCCCGGTAGCACACCAACCAGCCCGGCAGCGCAAAGCCAGCGAATTCAAAAGGAAGCAAAGCCAAGGAGAGTGGATTGAATTTCAACATCTTCAACCAACCACAACAAGAAGGAGAACTTGGATATCGGCACCCATAAACCACCCTCAGACTCAATCTGCTGGTCACGAACGTTGCCCTTCATCTGGTTTTCTTGTTCGACCTAACGATCGGCCTCGAAGTGCACTCGAGAGATGCTGTTTCTGGCCGCTTCACATGGCACTACCTCCTCCCAGAGCGCTGGCTGGAGAGCGCGGCCGATGCGGAGATCCTCCAGGGCAACTGGAGAGAGTGGGAGAGGCGAAGACAGCTAGGATGTCTTTTTTCTCCTCTTCTAGTGACTCATAGATGGAATTGGGACCACACTTCAGTGTGCTTAGTTAATCTTAGCTAGACCCGAGGCATGCAGAAATAGCGGCGACTTCTTGCCTGTACAGTCAACATGTCAACTGTATACCAGCAACCAAGATCAGTCCTCACTCACTTCGAGCCACAACGACATCTTTTCCAGGCAGAGCAAACGAGCACGTGGGGCGGACGCCATGAGCCGGCTTGACCCATCCGTTCACCGGTGCACCGGTCCCACGAAAGCAGGTTTCTCCAAACGCCAGTTTCGTGTCTCAAAACGTTCGACACTTCCATTGCACATGAACCTTTCATGCACTCCATCTTTAAGGGTCAGTGGTCAAGAAATGCCCTTGTCTGATGATGCTTCTCTCATCTGTCCGCGAAGGCGCAGAAGCAACAGATCGGAGCTGCAAGCCAGCACAGCAGGGAAATCAGTACGGTTCCATGTGCTATAGTCCTGGCACTGACCATGAATAAACCAACACATCAAACCTGTGCAACATTGACTCCCTACCCAGCAGAATCCAACAAACTACCTGCCTACATACGACAGTGTAATTCTACATGTCTTTCTAGGATCACCCCCTTTTGGTAGACCATATGTGTCACCCTCCAGCAGGAAGAAAGACCTGGGCCACCAGGCACTGTTTTCTATCTTTCTGTTGCGCCGCGTCTTCTCGTGGCGGGCCCTGGGAAGGTCACAGTCGAGAATGAGATGCACTATGAGGCACAGCCTGGAGGTTTGGGGGTTTCTCTGCAAGAGAGGGGAGCTAGGTGAGGGGGAATTTTGGAGAGACATTTCCAAATCCCGCGCTGCCTGGAGCGTGTCTCACCCATGTCCCAGGCCACCGGCGGACCTGTCTCCGCCCGAGTCGCGACTGAGCGAGCGGTCCGAGCGACGGCTGTGCAAGTGCTGCCGGCGTTCCAAGGGCTTCACGGGATGAGGGGTGATCCAACTCTGCTCCATTTCAACTGATTCAAGTGTTGAATGAAGGAAAACTAAACACTTGCTGCTGGACGATTCAGCCAGTGCTAGTCACTAGTCCAATTTAGTATCATCCATTTCTGGATGAGTTCTCGATCAAGGACAAGTCTTTTTGAGATAGTCAACGGGGTACCTGGTGCCTGTGACCCCCATATTTGTCTCCTTCACTGGGCTGTGTGATGTTGATAGGGGTTCAACTTTCCAACAGATTGCCACCGTCTTGGTGTCTTCGGATGTCTTGGCATGATTTGCACTGACCTGCAGCAAATGATTGCACTGTCTGCAATTGTGCCGCATATTTTGCGAAATCTGAAGTGGTCCAAACGATACGTAAGGCAAAGGGGGTGGTCCAAACGATACGTAAGGCAAACTACAGTCACAATGGAGAAGTGGAAAGAAGATACAGTAAATCATGCACAGTGCCCTGCGATGGTTTGATATTTTTTCCCGAAAGCATTGCGAAGGGTTCTTCCGGAAAATCTCTTGAACACTGACACTTCTACACTTACACTTACACACTGACACTTCCACACTTGCACTTGAACACTGACATTTCTACAGTTACACTTGAACACTTACGCTTCCACACTTACACTTGAACTTCCACACTTACACTTGAACACTTACACTTCTATACGTATCCCAGTGTAAGTGTAAGATTGAAAGCATGCAAGGGCAAGTATGCAAGTGTAAGTATCCAAGTGCAAAAGTATGCAAGTGTAATGCAAGTGTAATGCAAGTGTACGTATTCCAGTGCAATCCCAGTCCAAGTATGCAAGTGAGTATGGAACAAGTATGCAAGTGTGAGTATGGAAAACTTTCACGGGAGATGTCCTAATGAAACACATTTCCCCACTTTATAATAAATTCTCTTTTAAAGGGGGAGGGTGGGACGAACAGCGTCAACCGAAAATGCAACCCTCTGCGGAGATCGTGCGTGTCGAGTGCGCGAAATGCAGGCGAGAGTGCGATTTGTCCGGTCCCCGGAAAACCCTCCGCGGAGATCGTGCGCGTCGAGTGCGCGAAATGCAGGCGAGAGTGCGATTTGTCCGATGCGCGCGCAACCCTTTGCGGAGATCGTGCGTGTCGAGCGCGCGAAATGCAGACGAGAGTGCGATCTGTCCGGTGCGCTCGCAACCCTCTGCGGAGATCGTGAGTGTCGAGTATGGAAGCAGGACATACCATGACAACCAGCCAAACCTCATCCACGAAAGATGGCCAAACCAGTCCATAGAAGACAGAAACAGGGTTGCCCATGGAGAAGCCTGGCAGTTTTGGCGAGTGGTCAGGTGGTCCAATGGATGGGAAGACTGGGTGAGGAACAACAGCCGCAACTTCACAGATGCCTACACCGTCCAGATCTGCTTCGGGTCGACGCGCTAGACCCAGACCAGGCTGGCGAAGACCCTGCTGCCCAACTAGGCAAACACCCTGAATGGAGGTGAAAAAACAAGATGTTCACATGGAAACCAACTGCGTGTTTCATACCGTGACTTCTTCCAAACACCTCCTGTGTGGACGTCGTTCTGCGGAAGCACAACAGGGCGGTTACTAGACATAGACTATCTTTTCTGTGTACAAAGGCTAGTCGCGAGCTGAGCAAAGAGAGTACGCTAAAACATATGCAGTGGCTGCTGTGTGTCACCTCATGCTACTTTGTCACGGCTTTCTTTGACACAGTCAATTAGACAGTTGGTTAACTACATCCTAGAAAAGCTGTGTCCTGGAGTGAAGTAAACGTTTTTGCCCGGAAGATATATATCGATGGACGCATCTCCTCTGACAGGTCACTGCTTTGAGACACTTCTGGCGTGGCTGCCTCAGCATTTTCTGTGTTCATTCCAGCTCGCTTTTTCAGTGAGATTCCCTGCAGCTGTGCACGCTGCTTCTCCCCTTACCAGCAGCTCAAATGCTCACGGCGATGAGCTGAGCTGTCACCGCTTGGCCGCCGGTGGGGTGTTTGGGAGGCCTGCGCGCTACTTCGTTCACTATATCTACAGTGAAGACCTTCACCAGCAGCAGACATAGACACACACTTCGACAATTGTATTCAGTTAACTCAGTTACCACGATGGGA